TCTTCAAGACTGCAAACTTCTTCGTCCATTGCACCTTCTAGATGGGTCATCTGGTAATACGTCCTTATATGATTTGTGATGCCCTCGCCTTCTTCTCTTCTTATTCTTTTTATTCCAAAGATTGGTTGTAAGCTTCCGGTAATACATCCTTGTATGATTTATGATGCCCTCTTCCTCGTGAGTTCGAGTCTTGCAACCGAAAACAAACTAGAGAGCTATACCTTATAAAAGTATCAAACAAAAATGGTTAGCTTCTTTCAAATGCTATAAGAAAATCCATGGCAACGACGCAAACAACTTAATGTGCAATATGTAGTAGTACTGCAATCGAAGTAATAAAATTTATAGTTATGTCTAGGGTCGTATTCCATGAGTCTTTTTATAGCAACGAATTTGAAACTAACAACTTGTTCTTTATTTAACAATACAAATAAAATTAAACACGATGGGTTAAGGTTCCCTATAGATGGTAAAAATTCTACTATAAATAAAGCAAGCAAATAGATGATTAAAGTAAAGATAAACAAGATAGATATAATAGATAAGACAATTGTTTAGGTAGTTTCAACTAGATGATCATGCATTCAATCTCATTAAAAACATGCATCGATGCATCTTCTATTATGATACTTTATCCCTTCCATAAATCCATTCATGCGATGTCTGTTTAACTAGCACAAGACACTGCTCAAGGGAGTCGTTAGTAGTAGCACTGGCGAGGGCTGATTTGAACTCAACCACAATATCACATATTATCATGCACATAAGAATGCTTCATGCCATCAGAAATGGAGAAAGTGATTTGTTCACCCCCAACTTTCAGGATGAGTTTACCATCATTCAAGTCAATCAACGCCTAGGTAGTGGCCCAAAAAGGTTTTACCTATAATCAGAAGTGCATTCACATCCTCATTTATGTTTAAGATCACAAAATCAGTAGGATATATGAACGTTTCAATTTTAACAAGTAAATCATCTACAATTCCCCTAGGATGCACAACAGAACGGTCATCTAATTGAATGCTCATCCTAGTGGTAGAGGGTTCACCTAGGCCTAGTTTTCTAAACAACTTGTATGGAATAACATTAAAACTAGCCCCTAGGTCTGCCAAAGACTTTTCTATATGCATAGGTCCCATAATGCAAGGGATACACTACAAAAAAGATGGTAATTAGAGATGAAAAAATTGACGACCACCAAAATTCGTCACTAAAAATGACTATTAGTGACTATACTATATGTTTGTCACTAATATTTTGTCAACTAGTCATGCATTTGTGACAAAACTTATACCGGTCAATAAAGGCAAAAATATTCGGTCATAAATGATAAATTTTGGAGGGAAAAATGGCTCCATCATTATTTGTGACGCACAACCATCAATAATGTTGAATTTTACTGACGAAAACAAACAGACTACATTCAAAAATATTTTTTCTACCATAAGGATATTTCTAATCAACATAGATATTTAATGATGACCAAATTTATTTACCTTGTACTTCATTGTTGGTTTTAATGAATTGATAATATATTCTTAAATGTGCTTGGTGGATCATATTTGGAATGGAACATGATGGTTGTATGTCGTCTCAAAAGTGTTTGTTTTTACGGAATCAAAGCTTTTGTGACGGGAACGTAACCTATGGTCACAAATGATCCTCTTTTTTGTAGTGATAGTAAAACTTCATGGGTCTTTGCACTTTTCTGGGAGCTTGTTTTGTAGGAGGCAGAACATTCTTCATTTAGCAGCATTGTGGATAGATCCCCAAGCTTTTTGTTGTTGATGAGGATGTTCTTCAAGAACTAGGCATATTTGGGCAAGGGCCTCTACGAATTGTGAGTTGATATACACCTGCTTAAACATCGCCATGAACTTGGAAAACTCTGCTTCCAACCGGTCCTTTTGCAACCGAGTAAGGAAAGGGAGTTGAGGGGCATACTCCTTCACCACGGCCTTGGGCTAAAGAGCAGGTACCTCAACCTCATTCTCCTTCATCAACTACCACAGGTTGCTTGAGAAAGGTTGACACTTCCTTTTGTTGCTTAGGTGCATGAACATCTCAATCTCTTTCTCGCTCCTAAGGGTAATGTCCTTCAGATCATCAAGATGGTCTCAAACATGTGTGGTAGTTGCTCGGGTTATGGTGTCCATCTTCGCATCCAAGCTTTGGAAGGATGTCTGGTGACTTTGAAAACCAGGTTCAATGGTGGAAAACTTGTTCGTGGCCACCTTCATGAATTTCTCGATTGCATCTAATTTCTTGGTACTTGTACTCACAAAGGCACTGACAAGGTTTTCATGCTTGGAAGGCTTGTCCAGTTGTTGTTGTTGAAGTCTTGCCCGTCGGTGGTTGATACGGTTAAGGGTTGAAGTTCTGAGGTTGGAAAGGAGGTTTTTGTTGTTGAAAGTGTGACATTTATTGTTGAAATCTTCTCATTGGTTCTTAGAAGTCGAGAGGCCTTGGATTTGAAGATGATGCCCATGAGAAGTTACGATGTTGATGCCACCCGAGATCATAAGTGTTGTTATAGGGATTGTTACCTCTCCTGGAATTTGCAATAAAGTCCACTTGTTTATGGGGTGTGATTGCCTCCATCATAGTTTGGCAATCATTTAGAGCATGGTTGGGACTTTGGCACCAATCACATAGACGAACTTGAGCCTTTGGTCGGATACTGGAGGGAGAATTGGTGTTCTTCACCATCTTGATCAAGTCATCAATCTTCACCTCAGATGAAGTACAATATTCCATAGAGTGGGTGCCTTTCTCGCTTGAATTCCTTCTTCTTCTAGTGACTCCCCAATCATATCCACAAGCCGCCATCTCCTCAAACAATTGTTTCATTTGAGGATGAGTCTTGTTGAGCATATCTCTTCGACAAAAGGAGTCAATGAGAACGTGATCTTCTTGGAATAGTTCATTGTAAAAGGTACCGACCTTGAAGTGGACGTCAAATCCATGGTGCGGATTGAGGACATTGTAAGAAAAACCTTGTGTATCTCTCCCAAGCATCTCTAAATGTCTCATCAACTTCTTGGGCAAAATGAGTGATGGTTTGCGAAGCTCGGCCGTCTTTGAAGATGGAAAGTAACATGCCATGAACTTCTCCTTTAAGTTTGTCCAAGAAGTGATAGAAATAGGTGTTTTGTTATTGAGCACACTCGTGCTCGTCCACTCAAGGAGTAAAGAAGCAATCTCAATCAGAGTGCCACTTGTGGTAATCCATAGCCTGTATCACATATGTGAGCTCCAAGAAGCGGTTGATATGATCACTTAGTGGTTGAGACATGAGAGTTGGATGTTGTTTTTAATCATCGAAATGAAACTCATCTTGATATAAATTTTTTTGGCCGCAATAGGGGGATGCCAGATGCTTGGTTGAATATCTTTGACCCTTGGGATGAAGTAGAACCCCATGGTCTGCTCTGGTTCACCTGCATTTTGTTCTTGTTCTTCCGCTGTAACTTCAAATTTAACTTCTTCTTCTTCTTCTTCTTCTTCTTCTTCTTCAGGAGGGTGTTGTGTTGCTAACCTCTCTGAACCTTCTCTAAGCTCTCTCTACCTTGGAAAGAGGCGCAAGGTGCGGTTGATGTTGTGGTATAACAGTTTCAAGTTCTCTGGATTACTCTAGGTCATAAACTACCTATAAAAAAATCAAACAACACAACCATGATAGGAAAAAAATCAAAATGAAACAAAAATTCTAAAGAATAGTCCACTTTTCCTAATAACTTAGTCATGTTACCTGGCAACAACGCCAAAAACTTGACTCACTTTAATCTACTCTCTCAATCAATGGCCAAGTGTAAACATCAATCAGGTGTAGTATAGCGGAAGTAAGTTAAATTTATCAATGCGAAGGCAAGTCTACTATTACTTCATGAACTATTCGTTATCAAGCTAATTAATATTTGGTTTAGACTAACAACTAACCTGCAAAGCAAATAAAGATTAATTCAAAACTCTATTGAGAAAATGTCACTATAGTGTGCTTATCTTTGGCCTTAAATTAGGTCGACGTTGACGTCCCTAACTTGCCCACTCAAGATTTATATGCAATCTAGCTTAGGTTAATAGCTCAAACTAGAGAGTGTGATCAATACCCAATCAACTGAATGATAATACTTCAATTCCATATCTATCTATCTATCTATCTATCTATCTATCTATCTATCTATCTATCTATACATACATAATATTATGGCAATTCAAAAGTAATTGTTTTCCACCTAAGCACTTGGAGAGTTCACAAATTGTCAAGGTGGACAATATTTGTACAAAAAAATGTTATTGATATATTTGTGGAGCTATCTCTCTCCATTTAATATTTCATTTTCTTTTATCCAATTTGTTTTCTTTTACATTATATCAATGTACACAATAATAAATAATGTATGAAGAGTGACATATATTACATTTGCTATCTCTCACGTTTTTTAATATTTTATTTTTTATCAATAATTTCTATTATGTTTTTGTTTTTGAATTGTATCGATCTACGCAACAATAGACTAATGTCTTTGAGTCACATATACAACTTTTTTACCCAAAAATATATGATTAAACTTACTAAGTAAATTTTTTACTCAAATTAAAAATATACATTCTGATGAACAATTTATACAAAAACACATAGATAATATTTTTTTTTTAAAAACCTTATTCATTCTGATTAAGTAAAAACATATGAATCATAGAAGCAGTAATTTAGGGTTAATATCATTTTGTACCCCTTTGCTTTGGTAAATTAACAGACGTACTCATTTACTAATTTTTTGCACAAACATACCCTTCTAATATTAAATCGTAACAAGTTTACCCTTCCGTCTAATTATTCGTTAATTAACCGTTAAATAGGTTGAGAAAAGACCTAACTACCCCTCATTTTTGTCTTAATTTCAATTTTATTTATTTTATTATTTTTGTCCAAAATCAATAATTAGAAAACGAAATCCCTAAACTAATTCAGAAATCATAAGCACCCATCTCCACGGCCGCTTGCTAGAGCATCGTCAACTCCATCTTCCTGCCGAAGCTCCATTTCGCCATCCGCAAGCTCACCGGCCACCTCTTCATCCTCTTCTCCTCCTGCGTTTACTTCGACATCACCGAGATCGACGATGTCAACACCAACGAGCTCTGCAACGCTGTCCAGCTCTACCTCTCCTCCTCCGTCTCCATCTCCGACACCCGTCTCTCCCTCACTCGCGTCGTCAACTCCTCTGCCGTCACCTTCGGCCTCGCCAACGACGACTCCGTCGTCGACTCCTTTAATGACACCGCCGTCCTCTGGGAGCACGTTATCTCACAGCGCCACTCCCAGACCTTCTCCTAGAACCCCTTGCCCGACGAGAAGCGTGGATTCACTAATATTTTACTCTTGATCATGTTAATTAAGCAAACTTTATTGAAGTCTTACGTCATATGTTAAGAAATTTAATTTTCAGACGTGAAGTTATTAATTGTCAAGCATTATAAATTAAAGTTTTCAAAATGACTTCGGTAGGATTGTTGGCGAACTTGACTTCATATCCTAGGATGAGACACGAGATACATTGAAAAAATATACATGTGAAAGTTAGAGGAATCTTTGTTAAGGATGTACGTTAAACATCATGTTTCTTCAACCACTGACCTATGCATTAATCAAATAAAGGTTTAAAATTTATGTTTAATATTTGAATGTCTTGATAGACATAACTAAATTCGATGATTGAGGCAATGAATAAACATTACTATGTTAGTTGAGATATCTATAGTTACAAGCGTCTAAATCGATGACTAGATTAAAATGAAGAATCTTTAATAATGATAAGTTCACTAAGACAAATGTACAAGTCATTTGATTATATGTTTGTGAGCATGCAATTCAATACCAAATTTTTGTTGTAACAAAAACTATTTTGATATCAAAGTCTCAAAATAAAAATATTTTAGTTTGTAAGAGTAAGGAATTTGTATTTACATCGAGTTACCCTAGCAAAAAAAATTTGTTTTCATATTCCACCCAACAGGCCGAGTTTAATGGTATTTATTAGGGCAGAAAGTACAATAAAAATTTTATATGTATGTATTTAGCTATTAACAATATATGTTCCTACAATACATCACAGAATTCAAATGCTTGTGAAATGTCACAATGTTTGTATGAACAAACACAATAGACAGAAATTTTAGTGATTGCACATTCAAACATTTGAAAATTTACACTGAAGGATCAGGTTAAGACGAGAGCCATCGATAATATATGTCAATGTATTGGATTGAGATTCTAAATCAACATCTAGACAACAACCATGGGTTGAGGGTTGGTCCAAACTTCAAAAATTAGCAATTGATACGTATTGTATAAGATACTAAATTTGAGTGTCTTGAAAACAATTTTTTCATAATAAAGGGTACAATGTGTATCAAGTTCCAATTGGGATAAACTAAATTTATCCAGAATAATTAACTATTATCAATTGGTTGAGAGTTTGTCCAACCTCGAGAATCATGAACTGGTAAATGTTGTATAAGATAATAAATTTGAGAGTCTTGGATGACAAATCTTGATATACGATTTTAAATGAGACGTGATAAACTTTCACGATATGATTTATGATTAGGGAATCAAAACACCAAGAGCGAGTGTGCTAACTATCAAGTATTAATATTTCCCAAAAATGTAAACATATAAATAAAGTAATTAATATAAATAATAATAATATAAAATTCTTCGGCCAGTGAGCCGGGTAAAAAACTAGTAACTTATATTATGATTGTTTTATAGCAACATCTTGCCACGTAGGATTCAATAACCTCAAAAAATTTCCATCTCATCTTTATCTTTTTAGTTTTTGTATAAATTTTTATATTCCTCTAAGCTAAAAATAGTAAAGAGATAGGCTTAATTGCAAATTTGGTCACTCGAATTGCTAAAAAATTTCATGTTTGCCACTCAAATTGATTTATTCCATTTATAGTCACTCGAATTAGTTGAATAGTCCAAGTTCGGTCACTCTCCGTTAACCTCCGTTAATGACGACCGTTAAGTGATGACGTGGCTAACAGAAAGACACAATCAGCATATTTTAACATTAAAAAGCGACGACCCGACCCGCCTCGTCATATTTACCCGCCCTGTCAGCCATTCTTGCCCAACCTGCGAACCAACCCAATTAATTGACCCTAAACCCAATAAATTGCCCAACCCGCTCTGGGGTGCCATTTCCTGCCTCTCCCCTCACCCACAAAGCAGCGAATTGGGTGAAAACTGCTGGCAATCGCATCCTCCACATCCTTCCAATTCCTCCTCCTCCCATCCAAATATCTATCCACCAAATACAAATCTCCCCCGGACTCCACCAGATTCTTCTGGCCGGAGCCGCCGCCGTAGGGGAGCTGCGGCGCTGAGCAGGGTTCCACGAATTTCAGGGACGAATCGATCACAGACAGTTTCCCAAATCTGTCGACGACGTGATACCGACCTCGGTGGATGATTATGTCGTCATAATTAATACTCACCGACGTCGTAATTAACAAAGCACAACAGTCGGCGGGCGCAAGTGAGCAGAGCAGAGCAACTTGATGGGTGCAATTAACATATAGTACCGCCGAGTATTGTATATGATGGTGTCGTCGTGGGAACCTGCAGACTTTCCCTCTTCCATCTCCCCTTTTGGCCAATGAAGCTGAATTGAGTTTGCCTAATAGAGGAAGATCCTATAGAATATCAATTGACCAACTGCTATCTGTCTATATAAAAGTCCTTGTGCATAGGCCATTTTCTCAATAACGGGGTCAGTGTAGTGGTTAAACAGTGTTGAGGTAGGGGATTTGCAGAGTGGGGAAAGACGACGACTTTATTCACCTCGAAGGCTGCGAATCCATCCCGATCTGTGAGGCAGAAGGAGGAGCTAATTTGAAAAGTGCGAAACTCGGCCAAGCCCAATTGAGTCAGAGAGTAATGGTGCTTGAGGTTAGAAATTAGGTCGACTAGCTGTAGCTTACCGCGTATTCTTCAATTTTGACCGGCCAACCGCCGCTTCTCGCGGCGGCGAAGGTCTAATCGCCATTGGGTTGGGTCTCGGGTTTGGGTTTAGGGTCAATTAATTGGGTTGGTCCGCGGGTTGGGCAAGAATGGCTGACAGGGCGGATAAATATGACGTGGCGGGTCATCGTTTTTTAATGTTAAAATATGCTGACAGTGTCTTTCTGTTAGCCACATCATCACTTAACGGTCCTCATTAACAGAGCCTAACGGAGGTTAACGGAGAGTGACTGAACTTGGACTTTTCAACTAATTCGAGTGACTATAAATGGAATAAATCAATTTGAGTGACAAACGAGAATTTTTTTAGCAATTCGAGTGACCAAACTTGCAATTAAGCCTAAAGAGATATATAATCATCACTGAGACTCGAACCTACAACCTTTGAGGTCCAAATTAATATCTTTTAGAGTGTTTAACAAATGTGATAAATTCTATTTGATGCTATCAACAACAAGAAACTTACTACTCATCTCATCAAATAGGTTAACACCTGACCTTTTAATGTGATCTCTTGCTTTTGCCAGTTGATCTTCAACTCAACTATAAAAGCATTTGACATAAATTAAATCAATGAAAATGTTTATTATATTTTATATATATCGTAGTAAATTAGTAACAAATAAAATTAATAGATTAAATGGTTAGATTAAATTTTTTCATCGAAAACACAAATTTACTGTGATGGAGCCGCTCTACTACCAGACCTGCTCGTCATCGCTCTCCACTACCTCCTCTCGCGCAAATGTTGTTCACGCGATATGGTGGAGCCGCTCTACTAGAGACCTGCCTGCTTAAGCAAGCAGGAGGCGCCCAAAGGGGCTCTCCACTATCTCGTTGATGGAGCCGCTGAGACCTGCCTGCTTGACGAAGGGATCGCGCAAACACATAATTGGCCCAAATCCCGTTTAATTCGAGGGATTCATGTAAATTTAATTTTTTAGAGTATATCTGTTTGATTTTTAATGTAAAAAAATATGAAATCCACGTTCAAAAGAATAAGATACATTACGTTAAAATTAATGTAGGAGTGGTTACGCATTTGTGTTTAATTTTACGGTTATGCACATAAAGTGTTTGAGACAAGTTTCACAACTATGACCTTTTGTCTTTCGAAAAAATAGTTATCTTTTTCACATTTCAACTTTACGCAAGTCAACATTGCTCCCAAAATTCCCTTTTCTTTTTCGCCTTTTTCTCCCAGATACATAACTCCTTTTTGCAGACATTTGTATGTTGACTCTGCTCAACCTCTGTCATTCGTAAATACATTAAAATTAAATCATCCTCCACATTTTGCTTGTGCTTCATTGTTGGTCAGTGAATGATTAGAACATCCTAGGTCACCATATTTTCACATACATTTGCATTTAGACTTCACTCAAGTCGCTTTCGTTCCTAAATTCCTTTTTCATACCTATATAGATTGGGGTTTCACGATCTCTCATCTAATCAATTCTGAATAGTAAAGCTTTCTTTTTCAGAAAAAAAATCAGCAATTACTTTACGCTAGCCATTAATTAATTCATGTTAGTTGTTCCTTAGAATGTCAATAAGGGAACTCAATTGCATGATACAAAGATAAAGCTTGATTTTTTGTATTTATAATGATGACGGGGATTAAACTATACGGAGGAACATTACAATTGTCGTCACTGCTATTTAGATCTTCTATTATTAAATTAATATTGTATGGTATTGTAAAGTGGAGGCGGAGTGACTATATGGCTAATTTTGGTTATATAAGTGTTAAAAGGTTAAAGGTAATACACAATTATATATGTATAGATTGGTAGTATAAGATTACAACTACACCTCAATTGCATGCTCATGATATGCAATAGTTTCTCACTTACATTTATCTAAATTATGTTTATTTATTAGGCGCTTATTTACCAAATATGTGAATTTTTCTTCACAACAATGATATCTTTTGACTTTAGGTATATGAGCGACAAGATAGATCATTATTTGTATGATGGACATGGATTATACGTATCAATTATGGACCAATTTACCATTGATTGAACATTCTACTACCATCAGGATGTTCAATTACTAAGTTTGTTCAGGTATATATTCATCAAGTGGTGAAATATTAAAATAGCTCTGATTCAATCATTACATATGAAAATTTGAATTATCTGCGTGAATTTGTATCACGTGCCTGACAGAAATGTTAGACACTAATAGTATTTGATCCAAACATACAGATGCAGGAAAAGAAAAATCAATGAAAAATTATATACAACATATGAAGTTGAAAACTGTTGGTCAATCAAAGATTAGATGATTATGAATACTGATCTTCAAAATGGTGATGAAGTAGTGACTCTTATTGTTTTACATGAACATTACTCCTATCCACAATCAAACTAAATGTGGCAGCAGGGGCGGAGCCAGCTCTATGGAAGGAGGGGCCATGGCCCCCCTAAATTTTCTGAATTCCTATTCGTCGCCCTAAGTTTTTGAATTTATCGCCCTAAACTTACCTACATGGACGAGTTTACCCTCTCTTAATTTGTACCTCCTTCAAGTTTTATTTCCGACTTACGGTTGGCGCGGAGATGGAGAGTAAGCCCAAAATCGCCCGCAAAACCTGATATTACGCCGCCGTCCTCTGAACCCAAGTTTCCAATTCCCATGGCGTGGCGCCGCTTCCTCTTCTGTATCTCCAACCTCACCAACGCAGCCCAAATCCCATCTCTCGAACCCCTCCTCCGACCTAACCCTTTCTTCCCTGTTTCTTGCCCTTCAGCCCTCTTCTCCACCTCCTTCCTGGTCACTAAAACCCCCAAAAAGTTCAAGAAGAAGCGGAAGAAGCCCGATTCCCCTCGCACTAAGCCCGTCCAGCATCCTTCCACCAGAAACCACCATTTCGAATCCTTGGTCGAGCGCGATTCTTACTTCCGATTCCTCACCAGATCCAAACAGTTCCTCTCCCAGCAGCCGGAGCACGTCCTCCGCCTCGATGACGCCGGCAAGCTCTACCGGGAGCTGGGCTTCCCTCGCGGTCGCAAAGTTGCTCGCTACCTCCAGCGCCACCCATTACTTTTCCAGACTTACCGTCACACGGACAATAAAATGTGGCTAGGGTTCACGGATTTCATGGAGGACTTGCTCAACGAGGAGCGATCGATTATGGATTCCGTGGAAATCGACAGGGTTGACAAGGTCACCAAGCTGTTGATGATGTCCAAGGACAAGCGTATTCCTCTGAGTAAGATTCACCACTGTCGGTTATTGTTTGGAATTCCTGACGATTTCCGAGACAGAGTGGTTAAATATCCCGAGCGATTTAGGGTTGCTGTTGGGAGTGATGGGAAGAGAGTGCTGGAATTAGTGAACTGGGATAAGAGCTTAGCGGTGAGCCAGCTAGAAAGGCAGTTTATGGTAGACGAGGACAAAGCCAAAAGAGCGTTTAAGTTTCCTGTAAAATATGCTAAAGATTTAGAATTGGATGAGGGGGATACTAGAACGTTGAATCTCTTGAACACATTGCCCTTGGTTTCGCCGTACAGTGATGGGCATAAGCTGGATCTTTGGAGCTTAGAGGCCGAGAAATACAGGGTTGGAGTTGTTTACGAGTTTCTCAGCCTGACTTTGGAGAAGAGAGCTTCCATTCATCACATTGTGGAGTTCAAGGATGAGTTCTCCTTGACAAAGCATACATATGACATGCTGAAAAAACAGCCCAGGACATTTTACCTTGCTGGGACTGAGATGAACTGGGTTGTGTTTCTGAAAGATGCTTATGATGAGAAGGGAAATCTCACTGATAAGGATCCACAAGTGCTTTTCAATGAGAAATTGTGTCAGTATGCTGAAATGAAGAAAGGGGAGTTGTAACCTGCAAGTGCGGTCCGCTGATGTATAGTAGAAAGGCCGACTCTATTCCTGTACTGTCTCCACTGATGCAATATGAGCCCGGTATGATGGAGAAGTTGAAGGGCATTGGAGTGAACTTATTCAGGTTCGCTGCAGCAGGCGTATAAACTGAAATGCATTCAGTTGACATTGACAATGTTGCAGATAGCGTCCATCGATCAATTAGAACGCACTTTGCTTCCTTTACATGACAAGCTCTATGATTATGTTTGTTAATTGACTGACGTTATTTATATTTATGATTCTGCTTCTTCTGGTGTCTAACGGTTGATTCTAGTGTTGTGTGTTCAAGACTGCATTCCATTGGAAGTGGAGTGTGCTTATTTCACCGACATGATACCAAAAGATAGGCGATCCTCAAATGCCTTCACTCGGATATGGAACCCTCTTCCCCTGGTAAAAAGGAGAAGTCACCAAGTGTTGATGACATTATATAAATAAAACATGTTCAGAAAACTTTTCCTAGGATCAGATTTTAAAGTTTAGTCAATTTGATTGATTTATCATGTACGTGGATCTACAAAGTTAGAAATGTTCAGACATCGTGTGTTTTGAGATGGTGATATGAATCAGGTGTCTTTTCTTATCAGCTGTCTTAACTCTTACCATCCCTTCCTTCCGGAAGGGACGAAAATAGAGGGTAGGGGAAGGGAATTAGGAGGGGAGGGATAATTTGGAGGTTAAGAAAATTGGAAGGAAAATGGTGTTTTATGGAGGAAAGTGGGAAGAAAAAAATGTGTATTGGAAATTGTTATGGATATGTTATTGGATATGTCTATGGTAACATGCATGTGACCGTAACTTGTACTTTTAGGTTGACCTTATATAGGATTATGTCGACCTAATCTGCACTTTTAGGTCGGCTTTATATGGGATTAGGTCGACCTAATATGCCGTTTCAGTTTTCTGAGGTTCAACGACGCGGTTGACCTTTTATACCAAATGGTCGACCTCTTGGGAAGCGCACGGATGACATGTACGACTACATGGGCCAGATTTCCACCTAGATGATTGGCATGTACGACTACATGGGGCAAATGACCACCCAGATGAGTACACTGCAGGTGACCGTGAATGATATGCGAGATGAGTTTCGATCTTTCAGTGGAAGATACATGCATGTCACCGTAACTTCCGACTACCATAATGCTAGCAACACTAATGAAGAAAATGTGGATGAGGGAGGGAGAGGACATGAGTAGGAACTCAATGATTTTAGATTGTGTGTTTTTATTGTTAAGTGTTAAAAACGATGGTGGATTGATATTATGTGATTTTAGATTTTAGTTATGTGTGAAGAATTATGATTTGTGTTTTATTGTATTTCTTGTTAGTTTGTTTAGTTGTTATGTTATGAAGGTATGAGTCCTTGGGATTTTTTTCAATAATAGCACGTTTAAATTTTTTTTTACAAAACTAGCACCAATCCAAAAAAATTAACAGAAATAACACCAATTTTAATGGAACGCACCCTTAAGGTGCGTTCCAAGCCACGTCAGCACAAGAAACGCAGCGCCAAGATGCGATCTTCAGATTCTGCGGAACGTTCTTGAAGACCGTTGGATGGAGGAACGATCGGAGCGCTGAACGCGTGCCAGCGGAGCGATCCGCGCCACGGATCGGGGAACGCATCGCAGAGGTGCGGTCAAGCTTGGGGAAGCCCAAACCGCCTCGGCAAGGTGCGTTTTCTATGAGGGCAAAATTACCCGACCGTCCCTGGAGGGTGCGGTCTGTTGGGTATAAATACCCCCCCCTTCCCCTCTCATTTCTTCACACCACAACCCATTCTTCATTCTCTCTCTAGATTTTATCTCTCTAAACCCTCCCCTCCCCTCCCAAAAGCCTAGGAAATAGTGGTCTGTTGGTTGCGGCTAAGTTCGATCTGCCATCAGAAAATATTTCTTATGTTTTTTTCTCAAAACCCGCCGAGCCGAATCTTTGTCCGAATTTTGGTTTTTTCCTCAAAACCCGCCGAGCCGAGCCGAACCTCTGTCCGAATTTCCCGAAAAAATGGCCGATTGGTGGCAAGGAGAGGGAGTTTATGTCGATGAATTTCAAGCGGTACATACTCATTATTCTAGTTTAATTTTTGTTTTTGTTATAAGCTTTTTATTTAATTTATGTACTAACCTCGTTGTTATTTTCTCGTAGGTTGGGGAAGATGTGGATATATACAACCAACGGTATTATCTCGAGCAAGGACCGTTGGATCCAACCGACTTGTTCGATCAACCCAACCATTGGTCAAGGGATGTTTGGAATGATCACCCGGTACATACAATTCTTCACCATTTGTCCTTCTTTTATTTTGTTAATGTATTTAGTGGAATATAAAATAAATTTATGTTGTTTTTTAATCGTGTTGGTTGTTTTCAATAATTTAATCGAATACATAGCGCCACTTACTTCGACTCTTTATAAAGAGATGCACGTCTAAGGAGATGAGGTTTTAAGCGATTATCATATCCTCCCATTACCTGGGAAAATCGGGTATTAAGAGATCCTCGGATCCCCCCTTTTTCTGTCAAAAAGACTGTGTTTCTAAGAAGATGTATACCTCTTCTAAGAGTCTAACGAGTGTTGCTCTGTATTCGATTAAATTATTTAAAACAACCAATACGATTAAATTATTTACCAAACAACCAATACGATTTATTTTTATGTGTACAAAAAGGATTTTATTAATTTCAAACATTTGAATATGTATGTTTCTATTTAAATTATTATTCATTAACAATGTTATTTATGTTAATTAATTTAGTATGTTTGTTTTACGATAATATGTATGTATCTCTTTAAATTATTATTCATTTAGAATGTTATTATGTTAATTAATTTAGAATGTTTGTTTTATGATAATATGTATGTATTTCTTTAAATTATTATTTTTTAGAATGTTATTATGTTAATTATATGAAATGTCTTTTTATGATAATAAAATTCTACTTGAAGTTAAATAATTTAATTTAATTAATTTAGTTATAAGAAAAAAACCCTTACTAATATATAATAATTAACGTGTAAATTTTTGCTAGGAAGCACAAACGATACTCCGCTACAGGGGTACGACCAATGTGCTCCCATTCCACCCAGCTATCTTGCCCTTTCTCAAAAGGGCACGGTTGGACTCGATTAGGCATTTTAACGGCATCAAAGTTGGTCGCCAACTCATCACCGCATTAGCCGAGAGATGGAGAAAGGAGACCCATTGTTTCAACTTTAGAGAAGGAGAGGCCACCATCACGTTAAAGGATGTCGCCATCCTAACCCATCTGCCCATCGACGGCAAACCGGTGTGCGTGAGTGATCATCCCCCCGAGGATCGTGACGGTATGCCCGGTTGGGTTCATTTCATCCACAGTCATTTGGGAGTGAAAGTATCGGTGAAGGGGTGCGTTGATGCGACCGATCGCATGCCACCAATCAGGAAACACCAAGTCTCAATTACTTGGTTGACGAAGTATTTTAGAGACCATTACGAGAGTCATCCCCTAACCGATGAAAGTCCGGAGGACGAGAAGGAGAGATATGCTCGTGTCTATCTCATAGGCATGATCGGAGGAGTGTTCTTCTCCAAAAAATCAAGCAATCTCCTTAGTTGTGGATGGCTTAGGATCATCTTCGGTAGTTGGGAGGAGATGGGGGAGTATAGTTGGGCATCCGCTTGCCTAGCTATGATCTACCACAACTTGTGCAATGCGTCTCTAAAAGCTGTGAGGGAGGTCGGCGGTGCAATGTTCATCGTCCAATTTTGGGCTTGGGAGCATATGATATGGATTGTACCGGTCCAACGTCCCGACAGGGATTGGCCAATCGATCATCCCCTAAGAGATGAAGCTTATGGTACAAGGTAAACTTCTCATACCCCATCATGTTTTTCATAACACATTTTCCCTTGTGTTTTAGCTTATTGTAGTTTCATTATTGTTTTATTAATAAGGTGGCTCGGACACACAACATGCGACAACCTTGCCCAACACAAGTTGGACGAGTATCGGAGGAGGTTTGAGCGACTTTGGGAAGGAGAGGTAACTTCTATACTTCGATCCATTGATATCTTTTTTCCATGGGACTACATGTATTTTTCTAATTAATTAATCTTAGGTTACTCATTTCTTTCTTGTAGATCGTCTTCGATCCATAACCGGAGAACATCGTTCATTGGCATCTCCAGCAATTCCCCGGTCATATCGGGCAATTGTGCACGAGGGTCCCTCTAATTTGTTTTGGGACCGTGGAGTGGCACTTGCCGAATCGATGCCTCCGTCAGTTTGGTCGGGCAATGGTGCCTTAGAGGTGCGGTTTTCGTCTGCCATGCAGGCCCATGCAGACCCACGTATGTTATTCTGCATGGCATGTCGGAAATTAATTGACCAAAACCGCACCTTGGGGGTGTGGTTTGAGTGGCAAAATCGCACCATGCAGATGCGGTTTAGATAGGTCAGGCCAAAACCGCACCTCGGCCAAGCGGTTTCTGTAGGTCAGACCTAAAACTGCTTGGCCAAGATGCGGTTTTGGTTCGGGATTTTAAACCGCGCCATAGAGGTGCGGTACATAAAAAAGGGTGCTATTAGTGTAAATTTTTTGGCTGGGTGCTATTTTTGTAATTTTTTTTAAAAGGTGCTATTTCTGGAAAAATCCCGAGTCCTTGTTGTCATTATTTATGACTGATTCTGTTTGTTTGAAACGTAATTTGTACGAGTAAAAGAACCACCCACATCACTTCTCAAAGAGGTCGACCATTTATTATATAAAAGGTCAACCGCGTCGTTGAACCTCACAAAACTGAAATGTCATATTAGGTCGACCTAATACTATATAAGGTCGACCTAAAAGTGCAAGTTACGGTGACATGCATGTCACTGTAGCAAAGTCTTATGTTATTTTATTGGGTATATAATAGTTAAATAATTTGATTATAGGTTGATATTATTTTCATTGGGTAATGAATTGTGAATTAA